CAGAACTGGCTTTGACAAGCACTGTGGCATTTGGACAAGAACAAACTGGGAGGAGGGTAGAGAGAATAGTGCAACAATGAATGAATGGAAACCAAAAATCTCTGTAAATGTTTATGAAAATTAATAAAATGTAGAAAAAAAGAAACAGTAATAAAAAAAAAGTGTAAAGCCATAAAGCCATCAACGTGAAATCTAAGTAACACCATGCAGTAACACAATTGGGTTAGAGAAGAAATTAAAAAAAAAATGAAATTAAAAAGTTCCTCAAAACAAATGACAATGAAAATAAAATGTACCAAAATCTCTGGGATGAAGTTAAGGCAGTCCTCAGGGGACGTCATAGCAATACGTAAACATAAAAAATGAACAAAGAAGCAAAATAAATTCTCTAACTCAACACGTTCATCAAATAGTAAAAGAACAATCTAACCCAACAGCCTCTAGAAGAAAGAAAATTACAAGGATAAGAGCTGAAATCAATTAAATAGAAAACAGAAAAACAATTAAAACCATCAATAAGAAAAGGAGCTGATTTTTTGAAACGGTCAATAAAATTGGCAAACAATTGGCTTCCTTAACAAATGAAAAAAAGGAGAAGAAATATATAATTCAATTAAGGAGTGACAGAGGTGACCTCACAACTGAGTCAGAAATTAAATCTATAATATCAGAATATTATGAAATGCTGCAATATCATTGATATCACATGAAGCAAGATTCTGCTGAAGATTATTCAAAAACGACTGGAACAGCACATCAACAGAGAACTGGCTTAAATGCAGGCTAGTTTTAGAAGAGGCTTTGGTATTAGGGATATTATAACTTATGTCAGAAGGCACGAGAGGAACATCTATCTCTGTTTCAATTGACTATGCAAAGGCATTTGACTGTATGGATCACAACAAACTGTCGCTGACTCTGAGAAGAATGAGAATCCCAGAACACTTGATTGTGCTAATGTGAAACCTATACTTGGACCAGGGAACAGTCATCAGAACAGAGCAAGGAAACACTGCATCGTTCAAAATTGGGAAGGGTATATGCCAGGGATTTGTCCTACTGCCATACCTTTTAAATCTATAAGCAGAACAGATTATCTGGGAGGCTGGGCCCTATGAGAAGAAATGTGGCACCAGGATTGGAGGTAGACTTATCAATCTGCATTATGCAAATGACACAACCTTACTTGCTGAAACTGAGGAGGACCTGAAGCGATTGCTGCAGAAAGTCAAGGACTTCAGCCTTAAATATGGACTGATACTTTTAGAGACCTCTCCAAGGTACTGAAGAGCAATGATGTCAGTCTGGAAACTAAGGTGCACCTGATCCAGGCTATGATTTTTGCAATTCCTTGCTATGCTTCAGATAGTTGGACAATGACTAGGGATGATAGAAGGAGAATTGATGCTTTTGAGCTGTGATGCTAGAAAAGAGTGTTGAAGATATCATGGACTGCTAGGAGAACAAACACGTTTGTCCTAGAGAGGGTGAAACCATGCTGCTCCTTGGAGGCAAGGATTCTGAAGCTTCATCTGACATGCTTTTGACATTTTGCAAGGTGAGACCAGTCCTTGGAGAAGGACATCATGCTTGGGAGGATGGAGGGACAGCACAAGAGAGAAAGACCGTCCATGAGATAGATTGATTCAGTGACTGGGGTAATGGGGGTAGGTTTGTCAGACAATAAGCTTGGTCCAGGATAGAGCAGGTTTTAGGGCTGTTGTATATAGGGTTGCTATGAATCACAGGCAACTCGACAGCACATACCAATAACATACTCAGATAAATTTTAAAACTTAGAGGAAATGGAAAAATTCCTTTAGACTCATATCCCACCCAGGTTGACATGATCAGATGTAGAACACTTAAACAGACCCATCACAAATGAAGAAATTGAGTAGGTCCTAAATAAACTCCCCCACAAAAAAAGTCCTTCACCAGATGGCTTCACAGCTGAATTCTAGCAAACATTCTGAGAATGTTTATCACCAATTCTATTTAAGTTATTTAAATATACAGAAAAAAGAAACACTCCCAGATTCATTCTATGATGCAAACATAATCCTAATATCAAAACTAGGGAAAGATATTACCAAAAAACTCACAAAACTACAGACCAATATCTCTCGTGAACATAGATCCTTAACAAAATCCAAGTTGATGAGATCCAAAGCACATAAAAAAAAATAATTCCGTTTGACCAAGGGGAATTCATAAGAGAATGGTTCAACATAAAAAAATCAACATAATTCACCACATTAACAAAACAAGTACCAAGACCATATAATCCTAACATATGATGCAGAAAAGGCATTTGACAAAATCCAACACCCTTTCCTGATTAAGACACTCAGAAAAATTGGGAAAGAAGGGAATTTCCTCAACATAATGAAAAATATGCAAAACCAAGAGCCAATATCATTCTCAATGGAGAAAGACTAAAAGCATTTTTTTTGGCAGACAGGGACCAGACAATGGTCCCTTGCTAGAGCAGTATGACAAAAGAAGGAAATAAAAGGTATCCTGATTGGCTCTTTGCCAATGGTCAAACTGTCACTCTCTGCAGATGATATGATAGTATACAAAGGAAAAAAAAAAAACCAAAGATGAAACAAGAAAATTGTTAGTGGGCCAATTTAATAGACTGGCAAAAATCAGTATCCAAAAATCAGTAGGATTCTTCTATAGCAGCAATGAGAACCCAGAGAACAAAATCAAGAAAGCAGTACAATTTATGATAGCCAACCACAAATTTAGATAATGGGAGTGAACCTAACTAGAGATACAAAAGACCTATACTAAGAAAACTACACAGCATTTCTGCAAGACACAATAAAAGACCTAAATAAATGAAAAATGTGCCTTGTTCATGGATGGGAAGACTCAGTATTGTAAAAATGAAAATCCTACAAAAAGCAATCTACATGTTCAACACAATCCCAATACAGATACCAAATTCCTTTTTTAAGGAGATTTAAAGCGAAATTGTCAAGTTTATTTAGAGAGGAGAGAGACCCTTGAATAAGCAAAGTACTTCTGAAAAATACAAATTAAGTGGGGGGCATAGGACTCCCTGACCTCAAAACCTATGACACAGTAGTAGTAACCAAAACAGCATGGTACTGGTATAAAGACAGGCACATAGACCAGCGGAACCTGATATTTGACAAGGAAATAAAACCTATCAAATGGGAAAATGACAACCTCTTCAACAAATAGTGCTAGCAAAACTGGACTTCCACCTGCAGAAGACTGAAATAGGATCCACATCTCATACCATATACAAAAATCAACTCAAGCTGGATCAGCGACCAAGGAGTAAAGCTAAAATCCATAAAGTTCTTAAGAGACAACCTGGGACAAAGTTTAAAAGGCCTAGTCTATGGTAGAAAAGAACTGCCAAATGCAGCCAGAAATGCATAATCTGAAGAGGATAAAATTGATGAATTAATTTCTAAAGATTAAATCTCTATGCTCATCAAAAATTTACCAACAGGGTAAAAAGAAAACCTACTGACTGGGAGCAAACATTTAGTAATACCATCTCAGACAAGGGTCTCATTATGAAAGTTTACAGAATCCTACAGGGCCTCTAGAAGGAAAAGACTGATAATCCAATTATAAAATGGGGGAGGGAGGAACATGGAAAGAATTTTCACCAAGATGGACATTCGGAAGGCCAACAGACACATCAAGAAATGCTCTAAATCATTGGCAATAAGAGAAATGGCACAATCAAAATAAGAATAAAATCAAAACTACAATACGATACCATCCAGTAGCAGTGGCAAAGTTTAGCAGGGCAGCAAGTAATAAATGTTGGAGAGGATGTCGAGAGATAGGAACTCTTATACATTGTTGGTGGGATTGTAAAATGGTACAACCACTGTGGAAGGCAGTCTGATGTTTCCTAAAAAAAGCAGAACAAAGAAATTCCATGACCCAACTATTCCACTGCTGGTAATATACCCTGAGAAAATGAGAACTGAGGAACAGAGACTTGTACACCAATGTTTATAGCAATGTTATTCACCATAGCAAGAACATGGAAACAGCACAAATGCCCACCCAAATGAAATGGATTGAAAAATTACCGTACACTAATACTTGGACCAAGAGACAGTCGTCAGAACAGAGAAAGAAAACATTGCTTGGTTCAAAATTGGGAAGGGTGTATGCCAGGGATGTGTCCTATCGCCTCACCTTTTCAACCTATATGCAGAACAGATTATCCAGGAGGCTGGGCTCTATGAGAAGTGTGGCATCAGGATTGGTGGAAGATCCATCAACAATCTGCGTTATGCAAATGACACAACCCTGCTTACTGAAACTTTTTGAGTCCAATCTATTTGGTGTTCACTGTGGTTCTTGAATGTGGATTTCCCCATTCTTCAAAATACCTGGGAGGTTTTCTTCATGTACTTCTGCAATTTTCCTAGTGACTTGCCTGTCACTCCCATGTTCTGGAATTCCAATCACACGTATGTCCTTCCTTTTGATGTCATCAAACATGGTTCTAATGTGTTTTTTTTTTCTTTCATTTCCTTTACATGTCATCTCTGATTGTTCTTCTAGTATGTTTCTCATGAAGCTCTTCTTCAGTTATACTTTTTATGTCCTACACTTCTGCCATTTTTGTTTTGTATTGTATTTTCATGTTTTTCTGTTATTTCCAGTACCCTCTCTGTCTTGTGATGATTATTTTTAAGTTCTTGTGCCTCTTTACCACAGGCGGCGGGGCGCTCGCCTGGGTGGCGGGTGACGAAGCCAGTTCTATAGCGGCTCTGGATGAGCGCTGAGCGCTGCAGGGATCGCTGCAAAGTTTGCCGAAACATGGTGGAGAAGGTCGGGGCGCGCAGCAGTGGGAGGCGGCGGCCGGAGCCCGAGGAGCTGTAGCCGCTGCAGCCGCTGCCGCCGCGGGGTGAGCTCGCCGCCATGGCCCGCTGGATCCCGACCAAGAGGCAGAAATACGGAGTTGGTGGTATAGCACTGGTCTGTGCGTTGCTGTACAGAGGTAACTCGTGGTTGCTGTGATGCTGAAGCCTGTGACAGTGATGTGCCAATCGTGGTAATGGGCACCCATGGTGGACAGTGTTGGCTGGAGCTTCCCGACTACATCAAGCCTGGAAGCAGGAGCGGCATCCACTTCCAAAATGGCTTGCCTCTGGAAACTCTATGTACGAACAGTTCATAGGGTCGCTATGAGCCGTCTGCGACTCGACGGCATTCAACAACAACAACAACAACAACAACTTGTGCCTCTTTACCTATCGTATCAATACTTTCTTTCATCTTTTGCATTTTCTTCTGTAGTTGTTCAAGTTGCTCCTCATTAGTATATTTCTTCTGGATGGCTGTTTCTATGGTATTTACTCTCTTAATGGCTTCCGTGGTTTCTTCCATCATTTGCATCTTCTTCTGCAGCAGTTCTAATAAATCGACATCAATATATTTCTTCTGGTTTTCTCTATCTGAGATATTCATTGGGTCTGCTTTTTTTAGGAGAAAGGTTATATTGTGTTTTCATGATGACTGAGGCAGACTGCTGCTTTCTTGACATTGTGTGAGTCTTTTGTAAAAAATATTTTTGTTGGTTTTCATATAATAGTTCCTTTACATTGTTGTTATGTGCCATCGAGTCCCTTGCAACTCATAGCGACCCTATGTACAACAGCCCTAAACTCTGTTCTATCCTGTGTCAATCACATTGCCTCTGACACACCCATCCCGATTATCCCAGTCACTGAATCAATCCACCGCATAGAGGGTCTTCTCCTCTTGCGTTGTCCCTCCACCCTCCTAAGCATAATGTCCCTCTCCAAGGACCTCTCCCTCCTTACAACGTATCCAAAGTATGTGAGACAAAGCCCCTGAATCCTTGACTCCAAGGAACAGCCTGGTTTAA